AAATTTTCATATGTCCAGCATTTAGAAGTTAGAACATAAAGAGAAGGAGTATGAGGCTGAATTAATGCTTCTAATTATAACATTCAGCTGCCACTACACAAAAGGTAAAGCCAGAATTATTCTTAGGAAGAATCACGAACCATTTGACCATTCCCCTCCCAACCCAAACCCTGTTTGTGGTTTGATGTGAACCAAGTAGTTGGGAAATTTAGTCGGATACAGAAACGGAATCCTTCAACTCAAAAAAAAATAATTGATGGTGATTTACAATCCCATATGTTAAATGCTCAAATAATGGATCTATGACCATAATCTATTCCTTACACGGTTTTGGAATAATAAATGTCAACACGGCTTAATTTCAAGGTAGGGAGAGATGCTTGATGCTTCCATTGAGATAATATAGAAATGTTTCAAAATATAACTTTGAGAAAGATTAGAATTTAAACAAAAAAAAAAAAGATTTCTTGAAAAACTAAAACATTTTAATACACTATTTTATAAAGGGTTTGCATTTTCTGCAGTTACTGCAGATAAGTTATCTACAGTAAACCCAATACGACGTCCTTTTGAAGCAGAAATCATGGTATTTTTGTAATTTTAATTTATTTTAGGGTTATTGTAGTCTTTATAATTATAATTTTTTAATCTTTCAATTCCAAAACGACGTCGTTTTGGAAGTAAATGCAGATAACTTATCTGCAGTAACTGCAGAAATATTTTTCTGTTTTATAAATAATTAAACTACTAACTTTATCCTAATTTCATCTAAATTTTATGTACATAAATTATTAACTATTTCTGTATTTAAGAATGGGTTTGGGATGTTAAAAAGTAAGAAGTAATTTTAAAATGTCATAAGTTTAATAATTGCTTTTGTTTTACAAAACTTTTGGTGAAAATTGATTTTATTTTTAAATTTTAATTATATAAATTGATTACTTTACCTACTAAATAACTTATTTAATTATTACAAAAAAATAGCTTATTTAATGAATTGATTTAAGATCAACTATGTTTTTAATGAATTTGTTTTCATTTTAAATCAATTTAAATCTAATTTTTTTTATTATGAGGTCAGAACATAAAACCTAATTTTTAAATAAAATAAAATAAAATTATTTATTATTAAATATTTCAAAAAAATGAAAAAGAGCGCTTAATAATCAATATGTTTTAATTATCTATATTTTTTGTGTCTAGTTTAAAATTTTCAAAGAAAAATGATACTAACTCTGATTTAATTCTTAAAAAAAAAAGAGTGAAGTATCTTTTGGATGTTCAACAAATATTATGAAGCCCAATTTAATCGCTTAGAAAAAAAAAGTCAATTCGTAGTCCTCTGAAATTTAAAATAGACTTATATTAGTCTTTTTGAGGAAATAACGTGAGTCTTCATTGAATTTCAAAGAGACCATGATTTTGAGTGAATGAATCTATTTTAAATTTTAGATGAATTATAAGTCAACTTCTTATTTATAAGGGATTAAAATAAATCCCATAATTTTTATTAAGGATATTAAAGGTATTTTAATAAAAAAAAAAAGAAGAAGTAGAAAAGTCATCTAGGTCACATATGCTATCCAATAACTCGTACAAAAGTTTGTGAGGCATTTATTATCATTTTTCTTGTAAGAAACGGTGCCTTGAAACTATTATTTCGAGGGGAATAGATCCCTTTTTTAACAGGAAAACAAAACATTATTCCTGTTAATCCGTCAATAAATGTGTAAGCATTCTTTTTGTTTTTTAATTTTTGTTTGATAACAAAGCCCACCAAAATTTGTATCTGCAGCACTTTTATTTTTTTTCCTGTTAAAAGAAGAATGTATTTCCCTTATTTCAAACTCAACTATGCGACTTTTATTGGCAAAAAAATATGTCAATTATGCAATCGTCTTTTATCACTCAGGGATACATTATTTAAATTTGTACGAACGCTTATATTCAACTAATTCAACATGGACAAATTTATAAAATATAGGGTATATTAGGTAGTCGGAATAATCTTAGTTTAATTTATATTAACTTAATTTAATTGATTTATTAATCACCCTAAAAATGAACCCTTTTTTTAGTGAAGATTCGTTTAAATTTTTTTTTTTTAAAAAAAAAAGAGAGAGACAAAACTCGACTCAAATTATTCATTAGTTGTATGAAATTGTAAATACTAAGACACCCCATTAGCTGAAAACTTTTGTACATACATTGTTTTGAAATTGGTAATAGCAGTTGGTGATAACTTATGACTTAGTAGGTTCTAATTAGGACTCTCACGTTAACCATCTTGTCTTAAAAAAAGTATTTTTTTTTTAATTAGTGATAATGGGATTAGTGTTGTTTATGTTACTCCAACCTTTTATGTAAGAAAGAAGATATGATCTGAAAGGCAACAATATTTATTATATCAGAGAGTTAATGACCGAATTAAACAAAAAAATAAAAGATTTTTCTTTTCTTTTTTTTATTTTATTTTTTGTTGCGTTATGGTACGTGTTAGGTGTTGCACCTAAAATTCCGCGAACTAATGGAGACTCCGGATAATGGTTACCCGCCAAAATAATTCGCAAAACGACACATCCTAAACGACAACAACAGAAATAAAAATGGTAGGGTCCTCCATTAATGTCAGTCAGCATAGCAGGGAAGGGTGCTTCCGTGCCGGCCAAAGCAGCGGAATCAGCTTTTTAAATAAATAGATACATACATGAAATTGACACAAATAGTATAATGGATCATTGTGTGTTTGAAATTTTACTATTTTTATTTAAAATTTATTAATATAATTTTTTTCAATTTAAGCAAATTTAAACAAAATAAAATAAAATTATAAGCTTTTCTATCAAAGTAAAACATTAAAGGGTTAATGCAAATAAGTTATCTGCAATAAGTTTAATACGTCGTGATTTTGGGACAGAAATCATGATTTTTTTGTAATTTTAATTTATTTTAGGATTATAATAGTCTTTATAATTATAATTTTTAATATTTCAATCCCAAAACGACGTTATTTTAAGAGTAAATACAGATAACTTATCTACAATAACTGCAGAAATATTTTTCTGAAAATTAAAATATTCAACCCATTGATTTACGAGCCATTGGAGCCAATATTCAACATAATTAATGGAGAAAATTTAAGTTAATGTAATTAACTTAAAAACATGACATAAGAGAAGAAAAAAAAATGGGGTTTTAGTTTGTTCTTTGACATGACACGAAAACTTTTTTACACACACAATATTTTATGAGGTTCACATTTTTTAAAACAAAAAAAAATAAAAAATTAAATCACGCAAAACGAATTTCTAGAATATTACACAATCATTTTTCCTACCACATAACTTTTATAAAACCCAAAAACAATTTGAAAAAATGGATAGAGTAAGTTTTGTTTCGGTGATTCTTGGGCTCCAGCCAACCATAGCCATCTATATTCAACAATTCACGATAATATCAATGCTACGATTGGCATTCGATTAAATTTCAAAGGAGACATTATCATACTATTATTGGAGTGATATTTTCAAGAATGAGAAATGCTACATTTATTTTTTCTCCATTCTCTCACCACTTTCATCAGACAAATGATTTTGCAGCACAATGTTATCATAGTGGCTCTAAAATTGAACCATGAAAATTGTTCAAAGCTCAAAGCATCTATGGATGATGACATGCTCTAAGCTTTGTATCCACTCTTTAAGTTGTTTGTTTGGTTGGATTAACTTTATAAATTTGATAATTCAAATCAAATAAACTAAATTTCTTTAGATTACTTTAAATCACTAAACCGTTTCGCAGCAAATCAATTATAATTGATTCAGTTATTGGATTCATTTATGATTTTTTAAGGATTCAGATATACCTCTATAATATATACTAATGTACTTAAGCATCAACATCAACATCAACAACACCTTTATCCCAAATTAATTGGGGTCGGTGGTAGATGAATCCACATGAAAGATACAAAACGGTTGAAAAAAAGTTAAAAAATAAAAAAAATAAAAATAAAAAAGTACAAAAGTAAAAAAAGTCAAAAATAAATAAATAAAAATAAACAAATAAAATAAAAATATAAAATAAGATAAAATAAAATAACAATATAAATTAAGCATAATGCTACAAAAAATAATAATAAATTTGACCTGCTCACAAGATAATAAATTTAATTTTTGAGAATCACACCAAACCCGAAATTAAGTTATTCAAATCCGTTAAGTTTTCCGTCATCAATTAGTATAAAAAAATATAATAATAAGTTGATATAAAAGATAATTGGCGATGTTAATATGAAATTAATTGAGTTAGTTAAAAAAAAAATTTGTTTAAACTTTTTTTTTTCAATTATAAATACTTGTAATCCAATTTGGAAAGACTAGGCTATCTTATTTTATTAAAATGATGTTATATTTAGTTTTCAAAAAATGAAAAATTGTTTGGTTAGCATTTTCTGTGAAAATGTTTTAATGAAGTAAAGCTAATTCTCCAGTAAAAAGGCAGTTGTTACAAACAATTTTTCTATATTTATTGTAGCTGTTGAAAAATAGTTTTCTAGTTTATTACTTTTAACAGTAAAAAAAGAAGTTAATTATAAGTTACATTTTCTTTTTATTTTCTTTTTTACATAAAAGTTACATTTTCAAATAACGACAAAAACACTAACATTATTATTTTTTTTAAAGTTCTTAAAATGTGCTGATTAATATATTAAATTGATATTAATTTTTAAACTGTTGAGATATGAAATCAATGTTGATTTCTTTAGAAATTAAACCGCTGTAACTACAAAAAAAAAAAAAAAAAAACTGATATCATTTCCATCTTTCAAGAAATAAATTGGTGTCAGTTACATTTTAAAAAAACACATTTTTAGATTAAAAATACTTCCTGTCCTAAAATCTTGTCTAAGACTAACAGTATTTATTTATAATAATAATAATAACAATTATTATTATTATTCCCCACCGCACTACCTTTCTTTCTATTTTACATTGTCATCTGCATCATCCATATTCCACAACATTCATCACTAACCACAACGTTTCTAGATCTCTCTCACCCTCTCTTTCTTTCTCTCTCTCCTCTTCTTTGCAGAGGGTTCCAACGTTAATCTTCTTTTCCTATGGCTTCCGATTCTCTGGTTATAAAGCAACTAAGGTATTTTACTGGTTTTTGTTGCTTCTATCTTTCTTATTGTTTCATTTCATGTCTCAAAGATTTAGAGTTTGTTATAACATTGTATTTTCCTCGGCTTCGGAGACATAAGGTAAGGTTGTGGTTTCTGTTTTTTCTTTTGGCCTTGATTCAATAGTTTCCATATTGGTCTTCATGTGAATATCGGAAATGATTTTTTTTTTTTTGGGTTTATTCATCTCTTGCTCCTTTGATTTTGTTGATCATCTAAACTGGGTAAAACTCAAAATTTTATCATCAATATATATATATAATCTGCAATTAAATGTTCTGTTTTGATTTGATTAGTCATCATGTGTTGGCCTTCTTATAGAAGGCTTCTTTTATTCTCTGTTGTTGTCACATTTTAATGGATATTCATCATATTTATTTGGAAAGTTTTGTAGTCATTAATTTCCATTTTTTTTTACTGAAAACTTGTGTTTATATAAATCGGCACTCTTGCCTCTTACCTGCAAGGATTGTCAAGTTTATACACTCTGTTGAAGGGGTTGAAAAAGATTCTTCTTTTGCAGACACTGAGGTGGGCATGTTTTTTGTGTGTTGAAGATGTTTTTGATCCCTTTTTATGGAGATGATGAAGGTCTAGATAGATGAATTAATTGCAGAATATGATTAACAGAATGTTCAGACAGGGTTTTGAAGATGATGGAATTTAGGCTACGAAGATTCCAGGAAAGACAATATTAATGTTGAAGATGATGAAATTTCTACTTCCAGATGGTTTAAGAGTTCAGGAAGAGGGTGTTGACCTTAATGGCAATTTACAAGGAGAGTTGAGGTTAACGATAAGTTTAGGCTGTCAACTTGCCATAGAGTAAGGATTGTTTTGTAGGAGATCAATAGTCATTCTATTAATAAGGGCGTAGATGTCAGGGGCTGCCTACTTTAGGCCTGACTTGGCCTGAGCAGGTTTAGGATTTTAGAAAAGTTCATTTAAAAATTAGAATGTAGGCCCATTTTAAAAAGCCTGACCTAGAAGAGCCTACAGGCTATCCATGTGATCTTTATGAACATTAAGCCGTGTTAGGCTTTTTAGTTTTTTTATAATAGGTCAGGCCAAATTTATAAATTAAGCCTTTAATAGGCTAATAGGCCAGTATAGGCTCGGCTTTAATAAATGTTTTACATAGGCTTAGGCTAACAAAGCCAAAGCCTGGCCTAATCTGCCCCCCCCCCAATTTACACCCATAGTCCTAAATACCTTAGTAAAGTTAAGTAGGTAGAAATGGAGCTTCAAAGATTAGCAACAACAGTAAATTATGGAGGGCCTAAAGGAATTAGAAGGCTTAATTTGGTTATTTTGAAGCTTTTAAGTTGTCTTCTTTGTTGAAGGCAAAGGTGTTGTTTTTTGTTTAACTTTTCCGAAGAGACTTTTGGGGCAGTTGTGGCGGCTTCTTTATCTGTTTTATCCTTGGGTTTTTTTGTTTTCCTAAGCTTTGATGTTTATTTTCACCTTCCTATCCATGTGTGTGTGTGTTCAAATATACGGTTTTAGCTTTTATCTTTACCAAACAATTTAAAGCTTGAAAATTGGTCTGTTATTGTAGAACATTTCATGTTAGCTTTTCATAATTTAAAATTTTGACGTTATTTAATCTTTTTTCCGTGTAGTTATAGAGCTACATAATTTGAGATACGCAAGCTCATATCCCGAGACAATGTTGGGGGGCAACAATGGTAATTCTGTGCTTCCTGTTTTCTTGGATGAGACTCAATTTCAGTATCAAACTAATGCAGCAAATCAGCTGCAGTTGTTTGGAAATAGTAAGTTTTCTCCTTCATTTTTCCATGCTATAATAAAATTGTGCATTGAATAATTTATCAATTTGGGTGTGGTTGTTACATGGGGTATCTTTCCTTGTTTGTTAGACTTATGTTCTTTTATAATAATATGTTTGTCTTTGATGGTCCACTGTTTATAAAGTTTCTTGCTATAATTTTCTTTGCCATTATTCTTACACAAGTACTACTTTATATATTGTACTTAAAATACTGTCCTCCTTTAGCCTTGTATCTGTCACAGACATGATTATGGCATCTTTCCTCTGAAAAAGGAGGGACTGCAAGATTCTGGTTATGACTTCTTATTGTTCCTTGTGTGATGTTTTGCTTGTGTGATATGTTTGGGCCTTATGTTATTGGTAATGGTAAGTACTAATTTCTGCACCTACTTATCATGCATCCGCTCTAATAAATATTGATATTGAAAATTTTAAACCTTAAAATTCTAATGGGTCCTATCCATGGCATTTTATAAGCCAAAATGCATGTAACTGAAGGTCCTTCTAACTTGAATCATATACCACATCTGACTGACAAAGACAAAAACTGGTTGTTTGTATTTGCTGTTGATAGCTGCGATGTTCTTATTTTGTGTTGCCAATTAAAAATTATTACTTACTTGTGTCACATACTCTTTTTCTTGTTGTTGCTGTGCATTTCCTTAAATAACCATTTAAATTCGTTTAATTTTTCTTAAAAATTCTGGTAGTTTGTCTATAGTTTTGCCATATCACTGATTGACGAATGTGAAATATCTTGTGCAGTACAAGCTGGATGCAGTGTTGACCCAGTTAATTATTTTGGGAATGAGCATATTAGTTCCATGATTCGGCCTAATAAACGAAGCAAGGAATTAGAAGATATATCAAAGCAGCAAAAGCTCCAGATTTCCTTAAATTACAATGTTTGTCAAGATGAAGCTGATGGTTCAGCAAGCATTCCAAACCCAAACCCTGTGTCAACAGGATTGAGACTTTCTTACGATGATGATGAGCGTAACTCGTCTGTTACTTCTGCAAGTGGCAGCATGACTGCCACACCTTCAATCATACTATCCCTTGGTGACAATATCAGAACTGCGCTTGATAGGCAGCAAGAAGAGCTGGACCAGTATATTAAGCTTCAGGTAATATATCGTTGTAGCTCTATATTGTGGGAAGTCTTCTGTCATTGAGTCACTTATGTTATACACCGTCGCTTTCATCTTATGGTAGATGATTTCACATTTTGCTCTATCTATTTTCTTCTGATTTCCTGCATTTTCAGATATATTATTATGCAGATGTTCTGGGTAGGATTTTATATTTTGTTGTAGGCCTTTTATTGAGTGATTATAAGTAGTTATTCTCTTGAAGAAATATTGCTTGTTGAACACTACTATCTCAAATGTTTTACTCATGGAGTAAGTCACAGACAAATCATGCTTCGGACCATCTGTTCCCAAAATGACAGATAACACAAGAAACAGAGAGATAATTGTTTTGAAAGCTGATTTCCAGTAAGAATCAAGTCAAATTATAATGAACTCAACAATACAGAAATTAAAGGAAAGAAATGAATTCTGCTACAATACTGCAGAAATTTGACTACAGAATAACGTAAGCATGACAAGGATTTTCAGTAGCTTTAGAGAGGCTATGGTCTCTCCCAAAGTCCAATCCCAAATCTTGCCGAGTCCCAAAGGTACCTCCCTTGCTCTTTCTTTCCCCTATTTAACCACTTCAGCACCCTCTGCATTGATTCACATCCTCCCTCCAACCCGCAACTGATTTCCCCATAACAAACTAGGGAAAATTCTTTATTGACTTAGCGCATGTTAATAGTGATCCCCTGTATCACTTCCTACAATAAGTCTTCACTATTGGGTTTTTATAAATACTCCCTTCCCAAACTTTTACCTAGAGGTGAAGGCAGATTGCAAAAGCCATCCTCCAGGGTGCTTGTGATGTAGTGTCCTACTTTTGCAAGAAGCATTATAGTTTCCACTGGAATTCCATTTCTCTACAACTCCCATGGGTTGATAATTATATGGAAGCAACATGAAGATCGTCACACGAGAAGTCAAGTTTACTTCTTCGTATGAATTAGTTATTCCAAGCTCCTCATTAATGAAAGAAATGTCATGTAAATCAAAAGCTTTACCAAGACAAAGCTTATAAAATGCAGCTGACACTAGTAGATTCCATAATTGATTCTAAAAAACTTTAGCCACTACACATGGCGGTTGCCATTCTCTCCGTTTCCCTTGCCAAACTGCTTCATCGGGAAACCTGTTCAGTTCATAATGGGAGATCATCAAAATCCAAGCAACAACACTAATTTGAGGTATTTTATCTAACATCTTATGAGCAATACCAAGTGCACTCAATTTCGCATAAATCGCAACAATTGCATGTTGAACAAATGAATCCAGGCCACAGCCAGAAACCAAAACTCTCGAATGAATAACATTGGAAGGGGCTTTGATGAGGGGATTGAAGAGGAGAGAATCGGGGTTGAACACGGAACTGATGGCATATTCTGCTTATTCTGATTGCTCTTCAGTATCCTCCAGCTCATGTTTTCCATCCCATTTTTTGGCTTCCTTGAAAGGAATGAAAGGATCTCCAATTGATTAAACCCTTGAATTTGACTCAATAGAGACAGTTAGCGACCGGTCAATACCCTTATGTATCATCGATCGCAACATATGTTTGGACAACATGTCAACCTCCTCCTCTGAGATTTCGCAAGTTTGTGTCTGGAGCCATGTAACAGCAATTAGCGCCCAACCCATTTTTATTTTTTTTTTCGAAATACTGCTCCATGTTGATGGGCCATCTGGAGACTTCTTCACCATCAAATTCTGGAACCATCTTTTAATCGGAGCTGTGAAATCAATTGTTAGGATTCAAGTTCCCAAAATGACAGATAACACAAGAAACAGAGATAATTGTAATGAAAGCTGATTTTCAAAAAGAAACAAGTGGAATTACAATGAACACAACAGTACAGAAATTAAAGGAAAGAAATGAATTCTGCTACAATACTGAAGAAATTCAACTACAGAATAACATAAGCATGACAAGGATATTCCAGTAGATTTAGAAGGGCTACTTTCTCTCCCAAAGTCCAATTCGAAATAAGTGATTCCCTGTTTGTGGGCAAGTGATTCCCTGTACCACTTCCTACAATAAACTTTCCCTATTTGGTTTCTATCAGTTTGCTTATGAGGTTTTATCATTTTTGTATTGTTCCATTACACTAGGTTTCATCAACATAAGTTGTACTTTGCAAATTGAATTATCGTTTATGCATGACTCATGGTTTGGTTGTATTGCAACTTTATGAGACAATTTTTCAATTACTTTCTTCACAGAAGGAACAATTGTCAAAGGGAGTGAGAGATCTGAAACAAAAGCACATGGCTTCCGTCCTTTCTGCCATTGAGAAAGGTGTTAGTAAGAAGCTTAGGGAAAAAGATGCAGAGATAGAGAACATGAACCGTAAAAATAGGGAACTAGCAGAGAGAATAAAGCAGGTATCTGTTGAAGCACAAAACTGGCACTACAGAGCAAAGTATAATGAATCAGTTGTCAATGTATTAAGGAACAATCTCCAGCAGGCAATTTCACAAGGAGTTGAACAAGGAAAGGAAGGTTTTGGAGACAGTGAAGTTGATGATGCTGCTTCATATATTGATCCCACTAACTTCCTGAGCATTCCTGGTGCACCTAAATCTACCTCGAAGTACCCTCATGGTATGGATAATCTGACTTGCAGAGCATGCAAGGCAAAGGAGGTTTCCATGTTGTTGATGCCTTGTAGGCACCTATGCTTGTGTGATGAGTGTGATAGATTTATCAGTGTTTGTCCTGTTTGCCAATTGATAAAAACCACAAGTGTCCATGTGCATCTGTCTTAACTTATAAAGGGTGAGTATTTAAAGAAAATGGAAAATACATCACTGTTATGCTTGTGTGATTTGTCTGCTTAAGTTATGAATTGTAAAGCACTTGTCACTATAAAAATTAACTTCCAATGATATCTATATTCTCTTTGCAGATTGGCTTATGTTAACCCTCCTTCCCTTTTTTTAATCATTTTATGGATTTGTACCTTATTGCTGATGCGATGCATCAATATTATATGATTCGAATATAAAAATATTGGGAGGTACATGATTTTCAAGCCCTGCATTTGGTTCATATAAGGAATATTTGTGGTTTTCTATTTAAAAAATTAGTTTTTCAGCATATTGACAAAATAGGATTAGTTTTGTTATATCTATACATGATTTGGATGAAACGGAGAGGTACATGAATGAATCGAATACACACCTAAAAGAGAGGGATTTCAGAGACTGTGCAGGTATGAGACTATACAGTTGAAGATGACTTAAAGGATTTAATACGTACTACTTATATTAACAAAATGCATCTACTTTTCGCTAGCTCGGAACAGAAGAACTCCATAGGTAAGTGTGCTTGACTTGGAGCAAGAGTAATTCTGGGGTGGGTGATCTCCTCATAAGTTTTTCCAAAAAAGTGAGTGAGGACAAAGTACGTCGAAAAATCTCGTGTTAGTTTATGAGTACAAAATCATTGATTTTTGAAGTAGCCGGGTGTTACAAGCTACCTCCTACATATATTTTCTGACTGTTGCAGAATTACAGCGAACATATATTGCCTTTTCTTAAGCCATTAACGTTGTCATAGAAATAAATTAATTCGCGAGCAGCAACTACATTCTAAGGGACTTAGAAGCTCAGTTCAATTTTGTTATCTATGTCTCACTTTTTCTTGTCTCGTTCTTGATAGGTTTAAATTCCTATCGTGAAGAGAGAGAGAGATTTTATTGAATTAAAAGAGAATTACAAGCAATAGGAAAAGAGCATAACTGCTCCCAGCATTGAAGGATCTCTCCAAGCCCCTACTATGCAGAACATAAATTTCAACAAGAAAACCAGACTACCCTATCATAATAACTACTATGCTATATATCTTCTATCCAACATATTCTCTCTCTTCTAAGTTCTAACTGCTCTTCCCACGTCTTAGAATAAATAACTGCCTAGCATAACTTCCCTTTTGGTTTATTTCTACAGCTATAAACATATCTAAGTGGCTGGTTTGAGTAACCCATCCTTCAGAATAGGTTGTGGGCGGTCCAGATTATTGTTCGGATATCCATCAGTTCTAAACATCTTTAGGGAAAGAGAGTTTGAAATCAGGGCTCTATCAGATTTGGGAAATCTGGTCACCGTCGATAGTGGCAGAAGAGGTCAACGAGAAAGAAAGGGGTAGAATGGAAAGAGACACATGGGACCTAATATATCAAATTTTTATCAGGTCTAATCTCACCTCCCTAAATCCGATTAAATAATACATCATTTTGATATATTAAAGTATTTTGTTGTGTAAGCTTATACTATATATACTATACGATGATCATGTCAAATAATTAAAAATATAATATATAGTATAAACTTATAATGTCATGCCTTATACATTGTATCAAAACATGCCCTTAACATAGTACTGCTATTATTTTTCCTTTACCTTTTTTTGGTATTTTTTTTTTTTAGTTCATGGAATGTGTTTCACAGTGAATATGATAGTGGTTAATTTTCACTTTTTTATTTTTATAATGATTTTTTAACATTCTATGATTATTTCATTGCTAATTATTTAAAAATGAGAAAGATTAGAAGAAAAAAATGTTTATATTGATTATTGACGGAACAAATATTTTCTGTATTCTGATTTTTTTTGTTAATAATAATTGTTTCATTATTTATTATTGTTTTAGAAAGTAAGAAACGATCGAAATATACAAATTTATATGGATCGAACAAATGCGCTTAGGAATGTGAATGGTATTGACTGTTGTGCTTAGTTTTCCTTCGCATTTTGCAATTCTTATGAATCACTTTGAATATGGTAAGAATATTTTTTTTATCAATTATTAAAAAATAGAAAAAACAAAATAAAACTGAAAATAGATTAGTGTTTATCTTTTTAAAGAACATAAAATTGTGTTATTTTAATAAAATTACTATGTTCTATGGTAAAAAAAATAATTACACAATAAAAATCATGGTAGGTGAAAATATTGTTTTATGGTGAGAAAAACAATTACAATATAGAAACTGAAATTTTTTTAATTTAAAAATTAAATAAAAAACAATAATTCTAACTAAAATGACCGTCTTTTAAAAGAATAAATATTTTTTTGCAACTGAAAATATTTAAACGGGTTGAATAAATATGCTGTTGACTGTGATGAGTACTATGGTCATTTTCTGACAATTTTTATGAATTATTTTAAATTTTTGTATGAGTATTTCATCATTAATTGTTGAAAAGCTTGAATTATTAAGGAAAAGTGGAGAGCTTTTATAACTAAACAGAAATGGGTTTTGCTCTGAAAATCTGCAGGTTTGTTTATGATATATATTGTATGTTACGGGATTCAAAGTATAATGGGATGGTCGGTTATCCTCTTAATATATACAAGTGGATCCCTGGTTCACGGTGCTGAAATGTATGCATACGAATCAGATTCGAGACCAACTGTGTTCATACTTCCAATTGGGCATATTGAAAATTGAGTCAAACAATTGAAATACGCAACATGACATGATATATAGGTAGGTGTTCACTATGTCTTCGAAATTATCATCAGTAAGCCAAAAAGCCAGAAACTTAAAAGGCTTGGAACCATGAAAATTAATATTGGGATTATCATCCATTAAAATTATAGACCTGTGATCGAAACTGATGGAAGGTGTCTGATGGACTTGCTTGGCCATATAACGTTGCATGCTTCAGTGAGGAGTGAGGTTGCAGTTGGAGAGCCACTCTCTAAACTCATTAGCAGCACCCCAACAGAAGGGACCTCCACCAACCTTCTCATTAGGGACAAGCAAAGCGTTGAAGTCTCCCATGACTAACCTAGGGGATGACCCATCCATAACAAGGTTTGAAAGTTCACTCCACAAGGTCCTTCTATCACATTTCCTTGAACTAGCATAGACAAAGGTAATGAAGTCCATCTTGGAACTGTTCTTATGAAAAACCTTCGTGTGAATAAACTGGTGATGGGATCTTAGAATCTGTATTGAGAATTCAGCCTCCTCTCACAGTAACCAAATCCCCCCGAAAATTCCAAGGGATCTTGCCTGAAAGACTCATTAAAGCCAAATTTAGGAATGAGCCTATACACTTTATCTCCGCTGACTTTCGTTTCCAACAAAGTCAAACGACCAATATAAAATCTAAATTTAACATCTCTAACGAGGGTCAAGAAGCCCTTCTTGGCAACCCCTCTAGTATTCCAGCTACAAATAAACATAACAAAAAAATAAAAGGAGGGAGCCATTTACCCAAAGGTCAAAAAGGGAGGGATAAAAAATGTCCATTCGCAGTAGGGTTGGCAAAACGGGCCAACCCGGTTCGACCCGGCTCAACCCGCATGTAATCCGAAAAAAATGAGTCGGGTTAGGGTTGACTCGAGAAAAAAAAGGAGAGAAAACCCAACCTAACCCGACCGAGTCGGGTTAGGGTTGGCTCGCGGATTGACTCGAAAATTTGGCTCATGGGTTGGCTTGAAAAAATAGCTCGCGAGTTGGCTCGAAAATTGCTCGCGGATTGTCTCGTTTTCAGCCTATTTAAATGTACATGTAGTATTAATGTATCAACTATGTGGCTTCCAACGACTTAAACAAAGGGTTACAAAATGAGGAATAAAAACAAAATATTCTAATTTCAAATTTTTTTCTCCACAAATTTGCACCAACATCAAGAAAATCACTTGCTACCAAGTGGCTAAGATATTTGAACCAAACAGAGCCAGCACAACTTAACAATTTAAAAATGACAGGGATGTGAGAAGATTAGAGACTTACATTTAGAGAAGGAAGAAAGACGATGACAGCATGTGTGGGTTTTGTCCATTTTTGTATATTATATTTTTTATTTTTTATTTAAAAAAAACTCGACCCGCGGGTTGGCTCATTTTTTTCGAGCTGGCTTGGGTCTGGTTGGCAGCTCATTTTTGCCAACTGGGCTCATTTTTGACGGGTTACACCACTGTAACATCCCGATCTCGAGCCAGTTCAATTGACATACACATGATACAAACACAAACAACGAAAGACTTAACTTACGAAAATACGAGCTAACTTTTTCTTTTTCTTTAATCCTTTTTCACATGATATCTCACATTGCACACTTCTCCTTATTTAGTTCTTATTTGATAAAGACGAAAATCGGGCAGAATAACCTTTGAAAATTGGACAACTGGGGAATTTTCCCACTCTCAAGGGTTCCTGATAAACAGTTTATACCATATATGATTTCAGAAATATCAGATATCTATATAAGACAATATACCCATCCATGGGCGCATGCATAACTTGGCTCTGTGGCACTATGTCTAACAACATATATATTTCAGCACATGCACATATCTGAATATACAAATGTACATGCATCAAATATGAACACATGTACAAAACATATACGGAGCATATATTGTATAATGGATCAAACATCATGATCACAAAATGAATAGAACACTATACAACAATACATATTCTCCAAAAATACATCTAAAATAAATAGTAGCCTCCGACAATTTACCAAGGTTCCAGCAATGACTAATCCATCTACATGTCCCGGCAAAACACCATGCATGTCTTCCTTTGTGAAATATAGCAGAGGAGGGTCTGGTTTGCTGAGGTCTTCCTTGAATTTGGGGCGATCCTGAATAGAGAGGACCTCTTTCAAATACTTCCGTTTGGCACTTACAGTGTTTCCTCCTCCTCCAAGGGCTCCACTAATTACGTTGCAGTCAAATTCCGCTTCCTGGAACTCGTTATGGTTGGAATCATTTTTCTGATTCCTTTCATCCTTGTTTTTCTTTTCAGGAATCAGGATTTTACTTCTATTTCTATTTTCCGACTTCCTTTTGTTATTTTTGGAACCTTGGGTTTTGATAACGTACTGGCGTAATCTTCCATCTCTAACAAATTTCTCCACTGCACCTCGGAGATCCTAACATTGATCGGTAGTGTGACCCGGACC